CTCAAGGATGTTAAAGGTGTAGAGTTTAAGCTTTCAGGATTTCGCATCCAAGACTTGGGGCTTGGGGTGTGGTTTCTGAGCCTTATGATCGGAACTTTGCAACCGAGCTTCCGCGCTCCAGCAGATTTACGGAAAACACATGCAAGGATAGCTACGCACTACAGGTAGATGTGTGTAAAGCTATCTGGGATAAAGATCATATGTTCTTCGGAAATACAGCAGGGCTGATAACTGGAGCCTGCCCGAATTACTGCTGCAAAACCTATTGCAACAATGCACGACCGAATGTCGGTTGTCCCTTGTTTGTTGTTGGTATTTCTGAGCTTCTCACGCAGGTTCAACATGATAGGATATCATGGAAGTTGAGAGTTGAGAGATGCAAGATGCAGTGCGAGGAATTTACGAACTGCGTAAAGCACTGGCAGATAAGCTTCATATCGCAGGTGCATTATCGAAGCAGGACAAGTCTTTGACTATGTAACACTAACACTTGCTTTGAACATTTTTGAACAAACGGGCCAGTGACGATTGTAGCACATCATTCTGCCGATTTCATCACATTGAACCCTTCAGCCTAATCTGGCCCGTGCATGCAGCTACGTTCGCAGAGGCCAATCTGGTCACTAAACTGTCTCTAAACATGTGGACCGTCAGACCCAGAACGAACGAACCAGGCCGAAGCAAGCAGAAAGCAAACGGTTGTTTGCCACGATCTGTAAAGGTGCCAGCAACGCTATTGTGGTTAGTTCTAGGCTATAGGCTACGGCTACAGGTGGCTGCTCATTAGATGCAGCTGCTGCTGCTTGTGGCACATATTGAATCAAATCTCGGTGCCGACCGGCAGCCGGATGTTTTGGAGCTCCAAGCAGGAGAGGCTATGGCAACATCCAGCGTAGCACAGTGGCGAGGATGGATGATAAGGACAATGAAGACGACGATAGTGTTGCTGACAATGATGACAGTGACAGGAGTGGGATCAAGATTGGACAGCCGATTCCAAAGGCCAATGTGTGCATGCTCTTGGTGAGATGCGGTACGACATGGATGCTTTTGGGGATGGATGCCCGCTCACTCGCCTCATACTAGCTGTACCATGATCTGCAAGGCGAGAAGTCTCAAGCACCAAGAAGTTTACTTCCCACGAAGTGCGGTCCTCAGACACACCGAGCCCCAAGCGCACGGCGCACGACACGAACTTGGACAAAGCATACCTGGGCCGTGCCATTCTCTTGCCCCAAGGCCAGGAGAGTCGGTGACAGGGGCTTTGTTACAATGCAGGCAGCGAACTTTGTGAGAGCAGAAATAAAGGAGACCCTAAACAGTCTCCGAGCTGCCAACGGAATCCCCATCGTCTTGAACCCACGAACCCTGAAACGCCATACACTTAAACACTGAGCCACAAGCAGTGAAGTTCCGGGGGCCCAGCTTTGTAAAATGCTTGTCGGTCGAGTGATCATTCTGAAGCCTGCCAGAAGGTAGGTAGTGCAGACGCTTGAACACCTGTGACTGTGTGCGAGCTGTATGGGCCACATACTGAAGATCGTCCGACTACTGGCCCCCGTTACGTACGTGTACGGACCGGAGGCTTGCCTCCGATATTCTTGGAGCAGTATGCCTTGACTCCGGGACTGTGCCATCCGAAATCCTTTACACATCCCCCGCATGGGACCTCGGGATCGGCTTTCGTGCCGAAGAAGGGAAGCCCATGGAAGCCCCAGGGCCCCAGGCCAGCGCCCGAAGCCCGAACCGTCACATTAAACCCCCATGTTCCTAGCGCCTACAGTGTCCCTACAGTAGGGTTCTGAAGCCGCAGCCCACAAAGGGGTGAAGCTGCTTCAACATAGCTGCCACGGAACCAGGGCCTCGCGATTCGAACCACCTCCTCGGGGGAGAGAAGAAGGCCATCCTCCTTGGTGACATTCGTGGCTTTGAGGGGCTCCGCCTCCAGGGTTTAAGCCAGGGCCGTAGGTTCTATGACAAGGGTCAGGATCGTGACAGTGGCAAACAGTAGATGGTATAATTCCCCCGTGTTTTGGAGCTTCGAAGTTCAGGCTTTGGAATCGACCCACTTGGTCTGTGGGGCTCGTGTGTGGGGTATGAACACTCTTGGAGTTTGAAGATGCTCACCCCGGGGCTCAAGAAGGAAAAGGGTGGGTAATGCTAGCCGCTAGCCAGTCCCCTCCAACTTGTCATAGAAATCAGTGCATACCCCAATCGCTGAACTAACCCTGCGATCCTGTAAACAAAACGCTGAGCCGGGAGCCAAGGGAAGAGATGTAAAGACCCATCCGATGCACTCGAGCCCCAGGGCTTCAGCTATCCTCGAAACTGCTCAGGGCTTGAAGAGGAATGATGACGATGATTCTTCAAGATTGCTTGCAGTCATTGTGGTGATCCGCATTATGCCCGTCAGGATTGTCTTTGCTTTGTTGATATTCATTTTGTGCTAGCGCGTTTGGGGCCTCGGATTGAGGGCCGCAATGGCACTTTGCCTGATCTTCTGCAGGGCTTTTCGGTCGAGGGTTCAAGAAGTCTAGAGTCACCTGCGACTGGGCCACCAGGATTTCGGCTTGATTCCAGCTTCAGGATGTAGAACATTGGGCTGCGAAGAGGCAGAGAGTAAGGTTGTGGGATCTAGGTGAAGGGCATTCTGGGTGATGTAAGAAATCTGGCAGGTGGGGTGTTGGGTTCCAAGCAACAGAACGACCAAAGGAACTGAACCTGTAACTATCAACAAACCCTACTTCGCGGGCTCTCATGCCATAACTGCCTGGTAAACATCCTGCTGAACTTCAAGCCAAACCTCCGGCCCCCAGCAGCGGACATGGACTGGGCCTGCTCAATCTTGCTTCTGGCAAGCATGTAAAACTCAAAGGATTGTGAAACAACTAAACCACCAGACTTCCCAGGCCTCCCGACAACTGCGGAATGCTCTCCCCTCCTCAAGCCCGAATCCGAAACCCATCCCCCCTCGATCCCAAAACCCCTCTTACACCCTGGGGACTGGCGGTTTCGGGTCCAGGTCCATCGTCCATCGTCTCCCCAAATCCCTCTCCTGTTGACTCGGGACATCTCCTGGTCATCTTTGACCATCTCCGCAACCTCTCCGGCCATCCTCAGCGAACAGTTTTCTGTCCACTTTAGGGCTTCGAGCGATTGCCTGGGGTCTAGAGACAGTGATACTTGTGCAAGCAAGGATGCGATTCCTATGATTGCGCCGGCTACGACTACGATTCCCTCGCTGTGAATGCTCGGGGTCTGGGGTTTAGGACTTGGAAAACTTCTCTAGAACGCTGATTACATTCAAGAAGGCAGGGCAGATTCGGCTGAGCAGATATGTGGGACAGCCAGTGCAAGGACTATGGTCTGGGCTGCCAGATTGAGATTCAAGTGTTGAGGGAGTTCAAAGTGTGACAAAGGCTTTTTACGGGCTTAGGGATGAGGATCGCCACCGCATCACTTCCTAGATAAACCCCACTGTGAGGTTCTGATTCCGGCTCTTGCGTTGTGCTTCCTCCGGCTTTCCGCTGTGCTTCCACGATGAAACTGGTGTCACGCAGGCACTCTGTAAAGTAACACGATCAGATTCGTACTGCCCGAAGACACGAGATCTCTGGAGTTGCTCGAACTCAGGCCAGCTTCAGTTGCCGATATGTAGTAGTTAAGAGTTTCACAGTACAATAAAATCCCATGGTGCTAGCTTTGAACAGCTCCCGAGGGATGACAAAGGCCCACATCCCCGCGGATCAGCCAAGGGGCTCTTGCTGCGGTTCATAGATGGCCTGTGTCGATAAGGCCGCCGTCAAGAGTTCCTTCCCCTACGAAGGGATAGAGTCGAGAGCTCCCAAACACTCCAAACCCTCAAAAGCGGAGCAATTGGAGCTGTGTTTTTGTTGAGGGGGGGGGGCGTTAGAGTGTGGTGTCATGCATGAGATCGAGACGAAATGAGCACGAAGCCGCCTTTTGCTTGCTACTCCTTCCGAAAACCTTTCAATAACTCAAGGCCAAAAGCATCGCACTATCGAATTAATCGACGGCGGTGACAGAGGTCTTGTTGTGACCCGAGCACAAACATGACCCTACACGTCCTCTGCATTGTCCTCACGGGCGGCATGTCAATCACAAGGCTTTTGGCAGGGTCCGCCAAAAAGTAAACGCCGAATCCAGACTCCGCAACTCCAAGCAGTAACCCTCAGGACATCGCTGACTAGCTTCGTACTCGCACCTGTTGCTGACAACATGGATGGCGAGGATAGTGACAACGGAGACGAGAAAGCATTGATGGTGTGACGAGATAACAGAGATGATGAGAAAAAAGGTTGATGGCGAGCACTAGCTTACTGGAAGATGACGACGAGATGACTTCCGCTGTGATGGTCATGACAAGTTAGAGTAGGAAAACGGCAGCGAGGATGTACGTTTTGCGTCCCATCGTCTCTGACTCTGCCCAAATGGCACATGAAAGCTCCTGTTTTCCAGGGCCCGCTGCAGGTAAACTCTGTCTTCCGAGTCGTCTGTAAGAAACAGGGAGGAAGCGCAAGATCATTAGCACTCATTCAGCACACGTCTCTGGCCATGAGCCAAGGCGAACATCCCTACTCTCATTTCTGCTGTGTAGCTAGACTGGACCTCTTGTCCTCATAACGAGGACTATTCCAGTTCTTGCCATCAGCAGTGCGAGTTGCCTCAGCTATTGCCGTAGCATCACCTATCGCATCAGTATCTGCTTCTTCTATGTGATCACGAACTCTAGTCTGGAAATGCCCACAACTAACAAATGCTTCGTGGCCGTGTCGTACTTACGGCTAAATGATCACATCCGGCGAACTCTTCATAATGTGGCTATAATTCTAAGTACTCTTGTGATAGGTATGTTTGGGATGATTGTCTGTTGCCATCTACTCGCAATTGCCGTAGAAGCTGAACACGAAGATTCACAGCTCCCTTGGCACTGAACCCATGAACAAATCTCTCATCGATAATTGTCTTGAATGTTGGACTCACTGTTCGGATAGTCGTTGTCTGCGGATCTCCTCATCCTCGCTGCAGTTCCACAGCATGCAGCCTTCCAAGAGCGAAGCCGGGAAGAATCGTGACTGGCAAACACGTCCGAAATCATCAAGATCAGGATCTTCCTCCTTCTCCTCGACATCGAAGTCGATTACCTCCTCGATGACCCACATAGGCTTGGCCACAGGTGCAGGCATCACCAGGGTATTCTGAGCTGCACCTTGCAGGGATGTGGTAGAGCCCGGTGAGGATCTCAAAGTCCTTCCAAACAGCGGTACTGGCTGCGGCACCGATCGTCCAGTCGGATCCGGTGGCCAAACCAAGTTCTGCTCCGCTTGCAGGGGCCCTTGCAAGGCGATCACCGGTTGAACCGAGGGAGGAGCCTGCAACACCTGGCCTTGCCCCAGCACCGACCCTGTGCTGCGAGGCGGTGCTCGGGCACTGGGCCCACTTTCCGAGGACACCAGGCTCGTGGCACTGTAGGAGGGTCCAAGAGGGGCCTGGGGCATTACAGGGCTCAGGCTGGTTCGGCTTCGCCGACCCTCGGGTCGAACTTGGCCAAGCCTGGGAGGAGATCCGACAAATCCAGGAGAGGAGAAGCCGGCGCCTGCAAAGCCTGGAGAGGCATAGCCCGAGTAGCTCGAGGGTGGCCGCACCGTGGCGGCATTCACGAATGCCATGTTTCTCGGCTACGCAGAACTCAGAACTTCCACGTTCTACTGCTCCAGCTACCTCCTAACATCAAGAAGAATCACTATGCCCGAAGCTACGTACCGGAGGGTCTGCAAGTACGATCGACTCTGGAGTGCATAGCCTTCGGCCACCCGAAGCTAAGCCTTCTGTCTTCCTGTCTTGACCACCTCAAAAAAGGTCCCACGTCCTGAGGTTGTACTCTAGTCACTAGTCAAGCTCTGTCAGGCGGCTGATGGTGCTGTGCACCACAACACACAAAGCGACCTGTAAATGTCAAAGCCCGAAACCCAGCACCCTGGTCCATGCAAGATGCTGTCAGAGCACCAGTTGAGCCACAAATGCATGCAGTTCCTCAGGGTTTCGTAGTTGCATGGGTTCTTCGTATGTGGCTTCTTGCTCTTGTGGGCTCAGACCTTGACGTGACACGGGGCATCACAGCGAAGTCACCCGATCAAATTAGCACCTCTGCCGCTTGCAAGAGAGATGCAAGAGAGAAGCATGGAGTTGACAGGTTAGTTTCTCAAGGATCGGGGGAAAGGCTAGGTTTGGGAGCTATGGGGATGGGTGGTTTGAAACTGTTTGAGATGCGTTCAACCTTTTCAGGCATCTCCCTTAAGCACCTTTTGGTAAGGAACCGTACCTTCACTGTATATGCACGACTTCCACGCACTGCAATCTTCAAGCTTGATCCTGCCTCAGAAAAAGAGCGACTTTCAAATTGGTGGAAAAGGAACGAACCACAGAACAGTAATAAGTAAAGTTACAAAAACACTTCAAGCCTGACGACCCAAGGCGGCCCAAGTGCCAGGCCTCCATGATGGCGCGTGTGCCCTCGTCGTAGTTCTTGTCCTGACTGGCACAGATGCCATGAGCCTCGAAGGCTTCCACGCTGGCAGGTGTTGTGCCATTTTTGTTCACCGAATCGGAACCAACATATGCGAAGTCAGAGAATTTGTGCCTGCCGCGAGGGCTTCACACCAAGAAATCAGTCCTCCAAGTAGTAGCCGTACATGAAGCCGGCACGCTGCATCGCGTTTTCGAGAAGAACTCCGTGCCTTACTGCAGGGCTGCTGTGTCTCGAGGTAGGTATCCAATTGCTTCCGATGGGCTTCGAGTCATCTGGGTCTTGGGGGGTTGTCATAAAGATGGATTTGGATTGTGAATTGAAGGCGAAGCGGGGTGCAGTGTCAAAGTCAGCACAAAAATCCGGCAGCCTGAGTCCGACGCCCAAACATCAAAAAACCTTTGATACCATTACGGTGACGAATATAACTGTGGGGATGACTTCTCGGAACCACCACGGAACTTTCGCACGGCATGTTTGTAACAGCGCTTGCAGCAGCAGCAGCCGCAGCAGGACATAGACGTATAAGTAGAGGCAGAAGCAGAAGCAGCAAAAACAGCAGAAGAAGCAAAAGTAGCAGGAGTAGCAGAACTAGTAGAAGTAGTGGAAATAGCAGAAGTAGCAAACGTAGAAGTAGTGGAAGTAGTAGTAGTAGTAGTAGTAGTAGTAGTAGTAGTAGTAGTAGTAGTAGTAGTAGCCGCCACGGCTCAGACGTTTTGGAAGTTTCGCGCTGGCTTTCGAACAGGCTCTGGACTCCAACCCTTCGTTGCTAGAGGTCTCAAACAGGCCTCTCTCTGAACGACTAAGGGTTGGTGCCTCGCGCTGAGCCATGTGCCATGTGCCAACTGTTTGCGTCTGAGCCGCCAGGTCCCAATTCCTGGACCCAGTACCCTGTCTCAACACGGGCCCACTGGGCAGGCGGTAGGGTTTCCACTAGCCGCGTGGTGGAGGGAGTCACTCGGCTTGCCTTGTGACGAAATAGCGGATGGCGCTGCTCCCAGTGCACTCACAAAATTATTCTCAGATCAGGAAGAATTCTTTCAAGCATGTTTGCCGACAGGTGGCTGCAAGCCAGCAGCCTGTTTCTTACCGAGGTCAGGTTCTGACCCCAGCTCTTCTCAGGCGCATGGGCAACTGCCCACCGCAGCCGGGCTCCAAGCAGTCTTTTGCACCACGATCTCGGGCAGGACAGGCCACCAGGCCTCTCCGAGTACTGTCCTGGAATGCAGGCCATCTTGGCCAGCAACAATGGTCGGAAGTCAAATCATGGCTCTCCACTGAGGCACACCACACCTGTGATGTGTTCGTCCTGCAGGAGACCCACTGGCAGGCTACGGCCGAATTTAGTGTTGCAGGCTGGTACTGCATCTCGTCTGCTTCTGCTGCAGATCCGAAGGCCTCTAGACGAAAGCAACGCGGGGGCAAGGCCCATAAACAGTCACCTGCAGAGGCAATGCCTAATGACGATAAGATGACCCCACCCCGCAAGGAGCCCTCAACAACTCGCGCGGACGGGGTTATGGTTTTCCTGTCCCCACACATACTGCCCAAAAGTGTGCGCTGGCAGGAACATGTCATAGGCAGAGCCCTGGAGGTCAGGTTTGACTGGCACGGGGCCCGCATCAACCTGGTTGCTGTGTATCAACACGTCTGGTCACCGGCCAAGCAGGTACAGACCAATCGTCAGGACAGAGCACATGTCCTGAAGGCTCTTACCAGATGCCCCGCTTTGCTTAGCGGACTTGTAAGTTAGGATGCAAGGCAAGTTATAAATTTGGTAACCTACACATAAGGTATGTTAGGCTACTTATAAGTTCGATAAGTTCGCTTGGACATATATGTTACTAAGGCTACTTCGCCGGAGGTTATAAGTGACTTATAGTTATGGCGTCCAAAATACATAGAATGAACTTAGCTTTGACTTAGGATGGACTTACAAAATAGTTTTTTAGCATGATTGCTGTCATCTCCGCAGCTTGGGCTCGCGGGAGTTTTAGTGGTTGCGCTGTGTAAAAAGGTTGAGCCTGAGCATGGCGGAGGTCGTGAATCCGCACGAAGTGCAGAATCATCTTCTGAAGAAGAGCAGCGACCGCAAACTGATAGCTACTTATCGGTACTTGATGAGCAGCCGTCAGGCTCCTGCGAGGAACCTGGGCCTGAAGCTTCGCTGGGAGCTTTTGAGGAGACATGCTTTCGACGAGGCTTGGTTCCAGAAGCATGCGGAGCAGCAAGACGAAGACTGAGATAGCAGATTGAGGTCTGCTGGGCCTTTGGCACCGAAAACTCCACAGCTGAAGCTTCTTTAATTAAGCTGCACCGACTCGGAGCTGTAGACATCTCTGCACTCTGGATTTCCTGCTTGCAAGAAGAAAAGCTGAAGGCAGGACGAGACTCCCCTGCAAAAGTTATTTGATGGTCATTCTCTCTTTCTCTGTTCCTCTGTGGTTGTTTTGGTTGGCTCAAATGTAATTGATATAGAGTTTGTACAGTGTGCTTTTCGTGTAGGCTCGTTTTAGACAGCTTGGCTTTTGCAATGGCCTCACAGCAGCAGCAGCAGGAGACTGTTGCTAAGCGGCGAAATCCTCAGGATTATCGCCGCTTCATCCGTTACATGCCGGCATCGCTGTGGCGGTACCTGCAGGAGGCACAGTTCTTGGTTGACTCTGTAGAGAAGCTGGGAACGTTTCTTTTTGGGCTGGGGCTTCGTCTTCCCAGCGAGCTGACAGTGGCCTACTTGACTGCTGCTGTGACCTTTCGCAACGGCGACAGCAGCTCGTTTCAGTTGCACCAGAACTTTCTGACGGTGAAACGTTTGTGGAAGCAGCTGTACTCCAGGCTCTCGAAGTTGCCTTCAGAGGGTCTGGAGCCTTGGCTGCAGGAGCTCCCTGGAAACATGGATGAGTTGCCGAAGCCTTATGTCCCAGCCGAGCCACCGTTGCCGGAAGCTGAGTGGCCTGTTCCCCAGCGACGCTTAGACGAGCTTGCGGCTCGTGTGCCGTTGCGCAAGACCAACCGCGTTGTGGCAGAGCAGACGGCCCAGTCCAGCCAGGCTCTTGCTTCCGGGGCGCAGCCTTCGGGGCACCAACTTGCAGCCGTTGTGCAAGCTGCGGTGACACCGCTCGTCTCCATGATGATGCAGGGTGGTCGCCAAACTGCAGCAGCAGACACTGGCATAGGTCTGCCAGGTCTGCAGATCCTCAGCCCGGGACGTCGCTTCAGAGGTAAGAGAAGTCTGGAACTTCAAACGCCGCCTCGCGAAGCAGCCTCGGCTTCCACAGTGCAAGCACAGCAGTTGGCGCTGCCGCCTCCGCCTGCCGCCACGCAGCAGCCACAGCAGGTGTCGCTTGTGACACCGCCTGCGGGCGAGGAGCAGCCACCTTCGTCGGCTTGCCTAGACTTGCAGAGCCCCCCGCCCAAGGCTTGCACGTTGCGCGACAACGCTCTGGAACTGGCCTCGGCCTTCAAGCAGTCCCAGGACAACCAGAAGCCACAGAAGGGCAAGAGGTTTGCCCGCCCGGCTGCTCAGACCAAGGTTTTTGCTCGCCCGGCAGCTGCCACGAAGCCCAAAGTTGTGCGTCAGTCACAACACAAGAAGCCAGCTGCTTGCAAGAAGCCTGCTGCGGCAGGAAAGCAGGCTCTTTCCCAGACTTTTGCTTGTGTGGTTTCTCGAGCCTACCACGGCGCCCGAAACCGCGCTTTGGCTGCGGGTCAGAGCAAAGAGTCCGCTGCTGAAGCTGGCCGCCGTGCCTACCGCAAAGCTAAGGCTGAGTTTGCGGCCTGATCTTTTGATCTTGAGATTTACCTCTATCTATCTTGAGGCCAAGGTTTTGTGCCTTCTTGGCTGAGAAACACGTGGAGTTCTGCTTTGAAGAAGAAAAGTCGGCTGTTATAGTCTTGCCAAGTTTTATAGGCCGTATATGTCTAGGGTTAGAAACACACACACACACAGAGACACACGCACACCCACACGCACACCCACACCCACACCCACACACACGCACACATGCACATGCGCATAAAGCGAATACGCACTCTTCTGGCTCAAGAAGGGTCTGCGAAGCCGGCTCCGGGTCACGGTGGCCCCGGCAGCCACAAGGCACGCTGGGTGTCGTCAAGTCATATAGTAAATGAAGAAATGAAAGATTATACAACATTTAGAAAACACACATAATATATATATATATATATATATATATAACTATATATTTACATTTATATTATAATATATTATAATATATTATATTATATTATACTATACTATATTATATTATATTATATTATATTATATTATATTATATTATAGTATATTATATACAGGCTTCAAGATGTAGTACACACTTAGTTTATTAGTAGGCTTAAAGCAAGGCCAAAGAGGAAGTCACATTATACATAAAGGTTCCTGCCACATATATATATATATATATATATACACATATACATATATATATATATATATATATGTGTGTGTGCGCAGCTGTCGTGCTGCGGCGACACAAACCAAACACTGCTCAGTGTCGCGGATCTCTGCGGAGATGACGTTGATGTCCTCCACCGCTGCGGCGGTGTGGAGGATGCTTCAGTCTGCGGACTGCCAATGGCTCAGTCTGCGGACTGTTTCCAGGGCAGCGGCACTTGCCTCTGCGGCTGCGGCTGCACGCATGTGTCTGTCTTGCCTGCGGCGGCACCATGGTGTGGATGCAGTATGGCAGGTTCGGTCTGCGGACCGTTCCTGCACGGGATCTGTCTGCGGACTGATACCCAGAAATCTGCCTCTGCGGCTGCGGCCGCATGCAATCTCTTAGCTCCAGTCTGCGGACTGGTTGCATTGCCGGGCCGGTCTGAGGACAAATTCTGGCCGCTGGCCCTGTCTCAACAATCAGGAAGTACATATATATATATATATATATATACACACTGTAAATATACATATATATATATATATATATATAAATATATAAATATATATATATATATATATATATATATATATATATAATATAGTTATATATATATATGTACTGTATCGAAGACCATACATAAATAAACAAATAAATAAATATGTGTATATATATATATATATATATGTATAGATATACGTGTCCATGCTGCAGGCCGCATGGTGGAGATCGAGGAGGTGGACGACCAGAGCGGCTCCGAGTCCGAGGACTCTTCAGAGGCTGCCCCGGCGGCTGCGAGTCTGCCTGTGCCGGCGCCGGTTCCTGAGGCACCGACCAAGAGCACGGCGCCTCCAGAACCTGCTGACCCGCCAAGCGAGGCAGCGCGCATACGCGCGAGACTCCTGTCCAACAGAGACGCGCGAGCCGCCGCGGAGGAGTCCAGACACCGCCCCCGTGAAGGGGAGCGCACAAGAAGCCCCAAAGCCCGTGCCGAGCAGCGCAACAAAGACAAAGGAAAAAAGGAGGAAAAAAGAGGGCGGTCAAGGTCCAGGCGCAGCCGCCGGGACGGCGGCCACGACCGCCGCCGCCGCCGAAGGTCTGAGCGTGGCCAAGCTGCCCCCAGCAAGAAGGCGAAGAAGGAGCCCAGGGACAGGAGCGGCCGTGCTGCGTCTCAAGCACCGACAGAGTCTAAGGATGCTGTCGGACACTGCAGACTCTGCAATCGGGAGGTGCGTGGAGGGCCTTCTGGCATGGACCAGCACTGTCGGTCTGGCCCACACCAGGCCATGCTTTTGTACCGATCAGGGCTGCGGCCCTGGCACCTCTGCCAGAGCCGCGGCAAAAAGAAAGCTGAGGCTTTGTGGTCCAGCACGACCAAAACACCTGCCGCAAAGCGCTCGCCCAGCCCGCGGGCAAAGGCTTTGCCGGCTGGACCCAAAGACCCCCCTGACGGCCCGGGGGGGTGGGGTCCAGGGGACCGGGGCAAGGTCTTAACGGCTCTTTTCCAAGTGGCGGCGCAAGAGCTGCGCAACTGGTGAGACGCAGCGCAGACAAGGTTCGCTTCGAGACAAAAAGCGCTCCATTCTCCTGAAGGCTTCTACCCCGGAAACCCTGCAAGCCCGAGCCTAAACCCTATATAGAGTTCGAGAACAAGCACATGTAATACACAATCCTCTATATATATATATATATATGTATGTATGTATGTAGCTTCCTATAGCCTTCGTTTTGGGGGATAAAATAATGTAACCCGCCTAAACCTCTTAGCAACCCGAACCTAAACCCCAAATAACTCCCGAACCGCACCCGAGCTTTAAGCTTCCGCTATACTTTCACTTCTCTTGAGCCCTAAACCCTTCTGCCCATCATAACCCCACGTAGCGAATTGAAGACCGAGGTCCGAGGCTCTCGTAGATGTTACTCTCGCCTTTGGTCTGCAGATGTGGACGTGTCGCTTTTTAGAGAAGTCAATGCCCGCGTATCCCTGTGAGATGTTGTTTAGCCATGCCCGTAACAAAACCATGGCCTTGTCATTCTTGTATAATCTTGTATGGAAAAACTTGTTATCGTGTAGGGTTCTTGTATTATTCTTGTATAACTATACAAAACCTGCTTTTCTAGGATAGCATCAATTCTTGTATAAATCTTGTATACACTCATACAAATACAGAAGCCTGGTCAACCGCCTTTCTGGTTTATAACCGCATTCTTGTATATCTTGTATGCTTCCGCAGGTATAATTCTTGTATAATTCTTGTATTTTCTTGTATACTAAAGACGCACCGGCCGAATCCAAGCTTCGGGGTTGTCCGCAGTTCCAGCTCCTCCAGTCGCTTTAGCTTCCTCTGCGCCTCGCCGTTTCTTTGCCCGCCACAGCATGGCGGATTCGACACTGCGTGAAGCCTCGGCTGCGGCCGAAGCCCCTGCGCAGCCAGAGCGTCAAAAGTGCGCCCTTTGCCTCCTGCTCTGTGAGAAGGTGAGCAAACGTGGGGCCCAGCTTGTCTGCTCGTGTTGCGTGAACGTTTCGTCCATGCTGCAGCACAAGCTGGGCGGCAAGGTCGCTACCACGTTGGAGGACAAGGTCACCTTCTACCAGAAGATCAAGAGCACAGGCTCTGGCCGCTTGGAGTGGAAGACCGTGCGGGCCCTCGTCAAGGAGCACATGATTCTGCGGAGAATCAAGCAAAGTGAAGTCAGTGTGGGAGGGAAGTACCTTCCCATGAACGTTCACTTGGCTGCTGGCTGGACCGAGAGCCAGGTCCGGGCCAAGGAGGACTTCATGGAGGATGCCCAGCTGGGCACGGTGTGGCGTGTTCCCGTCATGGAGAAGACGGTTCGCCAGATCGACGAAGAAATCGACGAGGAGCTCACTACGAAAGAGCAGGAGGTGACCAAGAGCCGGCAGGGCAAGAAAAGGAAGCTGCAAGAGGGAGAGCAGCAGGAGCCAGACCTGGACCTTCCTTCCGCTGCTGCAGGAAGCAAAGCTTCCGAAAGCAACAAAGCTGAGAAGAAGGAGGCGCAGGAGGAAGCCAAAGCGGAACGCTTGGTTTTGAAAAGCAACAAGACAACGGCTGCTCTGGCAGCCAAGGTTGTTGGCCCCCTCTCCACGCTGGTGTCCTCGCTCAACTCGGCTAAGGGTTTCGCCACGAAGTTCTGGGACGACCTCGCGCCTGACCTTCGCACAAGCTTCGCCGAGGCCTTAGCTACGGCTCTCGCCTGGAAGACCGCTGCCACCTCGGCTCTGCAGTTCCAGGAGAACTACGAAAACGCTGCCCGCAAGGACCCGGCGGCTCCGGTGCAGTCTCTCCCTGCTCTGCCCTTCACTGCGGAGACGTTTTCGGACTACGAGAAGGCGAGCAAAGCTACTGTGAAGGAGCTGCGCAGTACTGTCCGCGCCAAGAAAGACGAGGCTGTTGCAGCTGCTGAGGCCGCAGGCAAAGCCAAGGCTAAGCCTAAGCACCGCGTCAATGGGAAAGCCAAAGCAGCGGCTTGAGAGAGTTCTTCCGGCTAAGAGCCGTTTTGTGGTTTTGCGTTTGACCGTGTTATCTTCCCAGAGGATGCGCGGTGTATCTGCATCTGCCTGTCTGCTCGGCAGCAAATCTATACCAGCATAAGTCTTGGGTTCGCAGAAAAGAATAAAAGGAGCCCCATGCCCAGAGCATTTGATTTTCTGAATTGACTTTACTTCAGATGTGCATTATCCCTTTGGCAGCAGTCCTGTGCTTCTGCTGTCTGCGATCAATATAGCTGTGATACCTCTTTCCATGTACCACCTGGGTTGGCTCAAGGTGTTAGCGTCGATGGCTGTCCAGAGCTCAGTCCCCAGCTCCGTGCCGGTCCTTCACGCGGAGTCGTGGCCTTGCCGAAGTCCAGGCTGCCCTGTCAGGGTTTACGACGCTAGGCACAGACACTGCTGCAGTCTCTGCCGAGAGCAAGGCCTGCATACAGAAGACTGTGCGCGACGTGCTGAGAGGCTGGCCGCAGCTAGTGCTTCTGGCCGGCTAGCTGAGAGGGCTGGGCAATTTTGCTTGAACTGCCCGCGCAGGGTCTCGTCCATGCGCCTCTACTGTTGTCGCACCTGCGATCGCACCCCCGACAGAGGACATACGCGCGGATGCAACAAACGAGCTGCGGCTCTTGAGCGTACTGCTCCAAGCAGTTCAGCTGCTGGCACTGGGTCTTCGTCTCAAGCACCAATGCCCGGGAATGTCTTCGGGGCGACCTCCGCTTCTGATCTCAAAGGAGACCTCTCTTTCGAGACGACTCCAAAAGACCTGGACCTACACAGTCTCGACTGAGGAGTGCTGCAGGTGCTACAAAAAAGAAGGTCTCTTTCACATGCTCAGCCATGGTTTCAAAACCCTTCTGTTACAGCTGCTGCCTGGACTTCTGCAATTACTAAGTTCTTGGGACCAGCTCTTCTTCGCAGCTTTTGTGCAGACTTCTAATCTTAAACAGTAGACCCCCAACCCTACACCCCACATATATACAAACCCTAAAAAACCGTTCTTATTAAAAATGCTTAAAAGATGAATACAGACACACATTTTTTCATAGGGGAAGAAGTTACAGAGGTTTTAGGATGTCGGGAAGCCCTGGTATCCAATAGGCTTCTATAGAGGCTTTATAGTCAAAGTTCGGGCCGTTTAGGTTTAGAAATTATGGGCTTAGTGTGGTCACGGAAACATGACTATACCCAATAAAGACATGGCGGCCTGAAACGAAGCCCTCTGAAAAGAAACCCTCTGGTATAGCCGCAAATCCCTGCAAGCCTCGGTTAGTAAGTACATGAGAAGCAACGCTGCGTGCCATGGTCAACAACAAGAAACGAAAAATTCTGGACGCAGAAGCTGTCGCCTCTTGCCTGCACCTGCGTGGTGCAAGTGAGACCACAGTTTTGGCTATCCAGAATCGACGCGCGCAGGAAAATGAGAAATGGTCCAAGGGTACTTTCTGGCGCCGCGTTAGTGAGTACTACGCCCCTCTCCAGAAGTGCTACTGCCGCTTGACGCTGCAAGGAACCCGGGGCTCAGAGCTAGACTTCTGGGTGGCAGACGCCCAAGCGATGCTGCAGGAAGTCGCGGCTAAGAGCTCGCAATGGTGCTCCATGCTGCAAGCCGCGCTCGCGAGGACTGCAACTCTTCGCGTCCTGTTGTATCACGACGAGTGCACAGCGGGAAACATCTTAAGTCCCCAGAAGAAGCTCAAGGCCACCATCTGGTACCTGACTTTCCAAGAGTTCGGCCATGTTGCGGCCAAGGAAAATGCATGGCTGCCCGTGGCGCTGCTGCAGCATCACGTAGCCGATACCGTGCTGGGCGGTGTCTCAGCTGCCACGGTCAAGGTGCTGCAGCATATCCTGCAGCCTGCCAACAGGCAAGGCTTCGACCTGAACATGGGTGCCCATGGTGCACGGGCTCGAGTTCAGCTCGCTCCCACTGCTCTCTTCATTGCAGATCACGATGCCCAACGTGCCACTTACTGCAATAAAGGTTCCAGCGGGTACAAGCCCTGCCTCTGGTGCGCGAACTTGCTCAAGCGCGATGCTCCACAGGCCGCAACGGGCTCTGGAAGGTTTGTTGATATCTGCGAAAGCAGATTTCACAGCTTTCACATCGCATCTGACTCTGAGATCTTCGCCGCGGCGGATCACTTGGCTGCCATTGCCACTGCAGGCGAACGCGCCAGGATGCAGAAAGCATATGGTTTCAACTTCGTGCCAGGGTCACTGCTTCAAGACGCAGACACTCGAGAACGCTTGCCTCCCTCCTGCGCGTGCAATGACGTGTTGCATGCCTACTTTGTTAACGGGGTGGCCTCCTGGGAGGTAGGACTCGCCATGCGCGAGCTCCAAAGCATCCGCGATCTGGATGCCTTGTGGCAACTGGTGCAAGACGAAGGTTGGCAACCGCGCGCAGAAACTGCTGGAGAACTGAAGTCTTGCTTCCGGTCTACCCTCTACGACTCCAATGATGGTTTCAAAGGCAACGGTGCCCTGTGCTGGAACTTTGTTTTCTTGCTCTATTATCTTGTTCACAAGCTCCTACACAAGGCAGAGCTGAAGCCCGCAGTCTGCAGGAGTTTTTTCCTCTTGAAAAGCATCTCTGCGGAGCTGCGACGCCTCAAGGCAAGTAAGCGACCCCTGGCTTCAGCTGATGTGCAGATGCTCCATCGCTTACAGCAGCAGCATCAAGAAGCCTGGCCGCAGGCGTGGGGTCGCGAAACCATGCGGCCTAAGCATCATCATAGATTGCACCTGCCTGCGGGCTGTGTCACTCTGTCCTTTCTCCCCAACTGCGAAACCCAGGAATCCAAGCACAGGGTCTACAAATCCTACATCGCTGCGCACCAAAGAGCTCACGTCAATGTCAGTTCAAAATTCCAGATCGCGCTGCTCTCTCGCCTGCTCAATGTGACGCTGAGAGAGTCTGAGGAACATGGCTTACTCTTGCCTCCGGAGTTGCTGAAGCCCTTCCGACCAGCATCCTGCGAACTGCGAGCTTTCGCCAGCGACCCCGATCTCCAGTCCGGCAAAGCACTGCGCTTCGGCAAGCTGCTAATCCGGCCTCAAGACGTCATCATGTGGGATGATAAAGCTGCTCAAGTGCTGGAATGCTTCCGCGGAAGATCCGGCTTCTGTGTGCTCACAGTGCGCCTGCAGCTTCTACGGAAGCATGCTTGGGGGTCCGTCTGGCAAACTACTGACAGACAGACCTTGCTGCCCCTGACACCTTCTGCAGACATCAATCTGCCACTTTACATGAGATGCGTAGGCAACACAATCTCGTGTCTGCATTGACGATGACAACAGTCTGCAGTGGAAAAAAAGCCCCTGGAGCAAAACACAAATGAACTTACACTCAACTTATAAGTTAGCTCTAAGTTCTGATTAACTTACTTATAACTCATTTACATAACTTCAAGATAAGTTCACTTATAAGTTCCCTGAGTTCCTTAACTAACTTATAAGCAAAGCGGGGCATCTGGTAGCAGATGCGTGCAACGCGTGCCGCACAGGGACACGCTTATCCTGGCAGGAGATTTCAATAGTTCCTTGCAAAAGCAGCCTAGGCTGGTTGGTCCAGAGATCATTAGCCCACAGGAACCGAGATCTGATGAGCCAGAGCTTACCAACTTTCTGCTTAATCATCGCTTGGTTGCCCTCAACACGTGGAGGCCTCAGCCGCCACATACGTTTCAGCAAGGGGATACGCGCACTCAAATTGACTTTGTGCTTACGAGGGAGGTCTCTGCTGGAGGAGCTGCCAAAAACTCTACGCCGCTGGCAGCTTTCCCGCTTGGAAGCTGGAAGAAAGGCGGGCACTTACCCATCAGTGCAGCTGTCAAACCAGTTCGGCACTGGAACCTGCCAGCCCCTCAGATACAGCAGCATCATTATGACACCGCTGCTCTGCAAGCGGCTGTCAGGGACAACACGCTGCCAGCTCAGCACATGCTCGAGTGGGTTACAGCACGACTCACTCCGGACATGCAGCCGGCGTCATGGGATCGCCTCCTTGGCGAAGCCGCATCCAGGTTTTTCCCTAAGACCCCAGTGGCAATGCCAGATAGTCCGGAGACGAGCCTTGCCAGACGCATGTGGCGCTCGGCGCGTGGGAGCAATGCTCACCCCAGTGCGGAGCCATCGCCGGAGGATGAAGCCCGGCAGAGGCTGTGTGATCAGCATAAACAGGCGGTTAAGCAGGCTCGCAAGGACCAGACCAAACGGTTTCTTGCTGAGGTTGATCAGGCTCTGAGCCAGGGCGATCAGCACCTGGCATATCAGACTCTTAAGCACCTCCGGCCGTGGAAACCGGCTTTGAAAGCTCAGCTTAAGGACGCGCACGGCTTCCTGCTCAGTCCTGCAAACGAACTGGATGAACTGGGGAAGTATGCAACTAAGGTCTTTGCGGCGCACCCACAGCTCCCGTCTGATTCGGGACTCCTGCCCCTATTGCCACAGACCAAGTTAGCAAAACATATTGCCTCGATCAAGCCTAGCAAGGCAGTTCCGAAAGGAGCGGCACCGGCCGCAGCCTGGAAGCTCTGTGCTCAGCCGATCTCTGCGGCGCTTTCACAATACTGTTCAAGCCTGACGCAGGACCAGTCACTGGACGACGATCTGACTCGCGCAGATCTCTGCTTAATCCCAAAACCGGGCAAGCCGGCTGACAAGCCTTCACAACTCAGGCCGCTGGGCATTCTTCGCCCGGATGCTAAAGGACTGGCGGGCACGGCCAAGGAGCTCCTGGAGCCTTTCACGCTGCCATACATGAAGCCTCTACCCCAGTTTGCATACCTCCCTGGGAGAGGTCTTTCGGATGCACAGAGCAGAGTGGTTCAGCATTTAAGGGAAGCAAGGCAGCTCTGTCGCAATGCGAATCTCACCCGAGCGGATCAGCAGCGGGGACAATGTCCTGTAGGTCTCGTCGGCGGCATCACTTTCGCACTAGACCTGTCACAGGCATTCGACACTGTGTCCCGAAGTGAGAT